ACAGCATTGGAAACATTAGATATTTGTATTCAATTACATAGACTTTAAAAAAAATCTTTAGAAAAGTATTTCCTTCATTGTTTAAGCTCTTTATAAGCTACAAGAATCAGTTTCTGCTTTGTTGTTATGTTTTATTAACTTACTGTTATCTGATGTATGACATCATGGAATTTGGGATGGTAGCTGCAAGAACAGAACCACCCCATTCACTGGCATAAATTTTAGATTTCATTTCTTAATAAAGCCTGGGTGTCGCGAGCAGGTGGTGGTTTCTCACCTCAGGTTTCTGTTTGAGCCCCTGCACGTGGGCACTCAGAACAGGCCGGGGCAGCCCTGGCCTGGCAGTGCCTCGGTCTGTGGGTGCGGCGACACGGTCTGTGTCCTCCCCGGCAGCCCGCCTTTCTGTGGCGGTCCCACTCGGGCTTGGCGGCCTGCACCATGTGGGACCTGCGTACACACGCCCCACCGGGGCCTGTGTTCACCCTTCGCTTCTTCCCACCTCCCCGGCATGCCAGCAGTGGGCTCCAGTGGAGGGGCGCCTGCCGATCCCTGTGACTTCTCCCCATGACACAGATTTTGGCAGTTTCCTGGGTTACTGTCCCCTCCAGCCTCCCTCCCTGAGCACGTGGCACGGCCGTGGGGCTGTTTGCAGCGTGTCCGTGTTCCCCTGCTCCTTTCCTACCCATGCCACAGCTTGGGAGCCAGGCAGATGCTGCCCAGGCTCCTTCGGCAGAGCTTTCTGCTTGGCCTCCGACGACAAGGATCTCTGGTCTGGCTGCTCCAGCCCAGATCAGCCTCATCTGGTCAGCGAGAGATGAGCAGATGTGGCCTGGGCTTTATTTTGTCTGCGTGCTGGTTTTGGGTAGGTCTCCTCATGACAGCTCTCCATACAGCCACAGCACTGGCTTACCCTGTATTTAGAACAGCCTGTGTAGTTTTGGTTTATGAACAATTATCTGCATTTCAGATAATTTGTTTCAGGATTGGCCACATTTCAGGCCAAAATTCCTGTAAGAGGAAAGGTTTCCTCAATCGTGGGTGGATTGTCAAAGAAATGGTGGGAGAGTGTAGAGGCAGCAGCGTGACATCCCTGCTTCACTTTTGATCCCTTCTGTGAGGACCCTGTGTTTGCCTTGGGAGAGCTTTTACAGCCCTGAGGGTAGGCGTTTGGTTAACCTCGGAGGGACACAGAGCAGGAGATGGCTCCTTCTGGTGAGGGGTTAGAGGAATGACCCCCTGGTGCCCCACCACGCAGCTGTGACTTCCACGGGGGCTCAGAATCCCTTCCTCTGGGGATCTGGTCGCACGAAGGGAGGCTTGGGACTGTTTTCCCACAGCTTCTCCTTTCAAGAAGAAATTGCTTGAGGCTTCTCAGTGGTCTTGTGGAGTTTCTGGGTTGTTGGTTTTTTTGACATGTTTTTAATGGCTTTCATCACGGGAAGGGAGGAAAGAATCTTAATCCAAGTTGCTGGAAAAGAGAATTGCTGCTATAAATGAGCAAATGACGGTTGTATGAATGAGTAGATTAGATTAGCTGCAGAGCTGACTTTCAGCACGTCCACATCTCTGCTATGTGGGCAACTTCATACAGCTCTGAAGATACACTCCCTAGATATTGTCCAAAGTGGTACTGTGTGCATCCAGTTAGGTTAAGTGCAAACATGTCAATGGAAATCTATTAGGAAGGTGATCTCTTTATAAAGGAGAAATTGGAATATTTATCTGGTGTCTGCACAGCTTCTGAATATCGTTGCTTCAGTCACTATTCCTTTTCTTCACGGCACTTGAGAGCACCTGGGCCTGGCATGGCAGGCCAGTACACTGCTGCTTGTGGTCTTATTCTCTTTATGAACTATATTTTAGTGGGAGCATGTGACTTGATTCATTTTCAGTGTGTGAGTTCTCTGTCATATTCCCGGGTACTTTATAATACCAGTAAGCTACTCAGGCGTATGGCATTTTGAGGTAATGTGGTGCTAAGAGACAGAAAGGAATCTATGAAGTGCCTGACTAACCTGTCTGTGCTTTTGTTACGGATTTTATTTCTGGGTTGCCCTCTATTACTTACCAGCAGGGAAGGTCTGACCCATGTGGATGCGATGCAAATGGGGAAATGCCCTGCATTTTGCTTTGCACAGGGATGTGTTGAAGTTGAATGGATAGAAACAGCCACATTTTAAAGAATAATTGCTCCTGAGATTTAGATGAATTGACAATAAAAGGTACCAGTGCAACTCTGCTCTTCAGGTGTCACTGTTAGTCATAAAAATTGTTAAATGATGAATTAGTTTTGAGGTGTCTCTAAGTGATAAAGTTAACACTTGAGAAGTGCTTTAAATTTGTAATTTATTTAAAGCAATCACAGTCCATTCAGTACACATATATTTTCAGCTAGAAGTTTTATATCTAGTGTAATTGAATATACAGGTAGAACAGACATTATTGTTTCATGAGAAAATGGATGAGAGCTATTTCTTTCTAGGCTTTATTGAGCAGTAAATTGAGTGATATCAGTATACATTTTTCCCTCTCAAAATTTATCCTTTGTTTGTCCACCTCTGCTAATATTTCATGTTCCTTTTCTTATGTCTGTCTGTGGTGGGTTGACCTTGGCTGGAGGCCAGGTGCCCATCAGTGCTGCTCTATCACTCCCCTCCTCAGCTGGACAGGAGAGAGAAAATTTAAGGAGAAGCTTGTGGGTGGAGATAAGGACGGGGAGATCAGTCAGCAATTACCATCATGGGCAAAACAGACTCAACTTGGGGACATTAGTTTAATTTATCATCAACCAAATCAGAGCAAGATAATGAGAAATAAATACTAAATCTTAAAACCCCTTCCCCCCACCCCTCCCTTCTTCCCGGGCACAACTTCACGCCTGAGTTCTCTCCCTCCTCCTCTGAGCGGTGCAGGGGGATGGGGAATGGGGGCTGTGGTCAGTTCATCACGCGCTGTCCCTG